CCCCTGCCTCCTTTCGAGATCGTTTTTGTTCTAGAAATATCCCAAGAAGCTATTTATGGAATGATTCGGTACCAGCTAAAATTGAAATAACATGATGAAAATAGCTCATCACTTCATTTACAGTTGTTACAAAGCAGAATGCAGTTAAATGGCCTTTAAAGGAGGTATTGCCTTTTTCCTGTACAGAGAAGGACCTGCTGTTAACAATAAAGGATTTGTCATTACATCATACACTACATTTCAACCAAAATGTAGCTGAGGACAGTACAGTATGTTTGGTACTGGCAATGGTTCACAGTCTAGCGTTTGGGCTTATGAAATATTAGTGTATGTTCTTTGCTCGGCATGACAAATCTCATCCTATGAGTTAAGTATCACTGCCTGAACTGAAGGTCACAGGAAGTCTGAGATTTTATTTTACACCTTTCGTTCCCACTTGCCAACCTACGTATGAAGAACAGGAACAGCTCTCGGGGGGAAATTAAGATTGGGTATGAGTTGTGCGCTGAGACCCTGATGTGTGAGACAAGGCACAGGTGCAGGGCAGGCCATGTGGGTGTTAACTCGTGCAAGATGGGATGAGAGTATTTCTGGAAATACCGGGGCTGTCTCTGTGGCGGGAGTCTGGGCTCCAGTGCCACACAGAGGACACCCCTCACATCATCATTTCCTGCTGTCCTCGGGGAGGTTTGTGAAAGAGCTGTCCCTGCACTGTCTCGTTTAGGAGTGACCTTTATCGCTGTCCAGGTCCTCTTGTTGTCTGGTCTCTAACAGCACCAACAGTTCAAGGCATCTTTGTATGCCTGAGAAGGCACTGAAATTGCTTGTTTTACAGTAATGTTTTTTTATTCACACGTGGCAGAAGGGAATGTTTCCTCAGACAGATACAGTATACACCAGCAGTAATGCTGAGCCCATGGCTTGAGGCCACTCAAGCACAGAGGCTCACCCATTCTGAGCTTATGCAGGATCCTCTGATGTTACTGTAGTCGACTGAGCAAATGGGTCTGCCCCTTTCAAACGGAAGCTGTTCCCCTTCAGGGTTACACCCAGCGGTGTTGCAGTGCCCGTTAAAGATCTGGGTGGACTGGAGCAACTGTACGACTAAAGTGTCTCCGACAGGGACTCGAACCCACAACCCTTCAGTCGTGAGCTTAGATCCCTCACCACTGAGATGTAAATAAAAGTATATGTATCATTATGCAAAGTGATGCCTGCATTGGTTTATGGGATCAGAGTGCCCTGCTGGTCACAGTTGGAAATGCACACACAGGAAACCCTGCTGGGCTCTGGCCATTTATCCAGGGCAGCTCTGTCACCGAGCTTCATTCATAGCACAGCAGCCGTCTGGGTGGCACACCTTGACACCTGCAGGGCCATAACTTCTGACTTCCTCAAGCCCTTGTTAGTATAGGCTTCAGTACATCAGAGGCTATGGCATTAACAAGAGGAATGATGTTTCTGCATAATAACGATTCGTGAAGGCGAAAGGCCTGTCTTGATCTGACGGCGAGGAGTGTTTAGAAGGCGTAATCTGTAGCACAGCCAACTGAAAGCCCCGAATGGGCAGTATTGTGGAATCAACAGACAGGCTCCCTGACTGGCTCTCGATTCAGAGATGGCCTGGGCTTGAACACAAGAACAGAAAAATGTGTAACACGTGATTTCTCAGAAGCGTAAATAATAAGAGGGGAAAGAGTCAATGTCAGGCTGCCTGTTTTGGGAACGCAGCTGTATGTAGTAATGTATTTGTTGGTTTAGTTCTCTAAGGACAGAAATGATTGTATGTGAATGTAGAGTGCAGCATTTGTTGGCACAGTTGTCTTTTTTTTCCAGTGTGTCTTGAACTTTGACCTCAAAAATGGAACTGGGTAAAGTGTTTGGCTGAACCATTGCTGTCGAATCACTGAAGGGCCACTAGGAAACTAGGAAAAACTGAAACGTCAACAACAGGTAAAATGTAAGGAAGATACGAACAAGCACAAATGAAACACATTTTTAGGAATCTAGGAATGTGTTCCATTTGTTAGAAACTGGGGGGATGAAAAAAAGTATTTTCACAAAAAAGGACGGCACTTACTTTGGTGTAGGCCGGATCTCCTGTCCATTTTTATACCACTTTAAATCCACTGTAGGGTCAGCCAAATCGACCACAAACTTTATCCGTCCTCCTTTGTCAACCTGGTAGCCGGGATCTAACTTCTTAGCAAAGGCTTCAAATAAAACATTAAACACACTCTTTAATCAGGACTTTGTGGAGAAATATTTGTATTTCCCCAAATTCTCATAAGTCCGTCTCCAGTCAAATTCTTAAGAAATAGCGCCTAATAAAGTTTTGGTACTCCACCCATCATTCCAACATGATTGTATTTTATTTGAAGCTGTTTAGAGGGAAATTGTGCTGGTGCAGCATGTTTTCTCAATAACTCCTGGTCTTCTCTAGGAGTGAGACCTGGGGATTGTTCTGATCAAGGAAGGAGATGGAACTCTGCCTGGTCTCCCTGCGGTCTCCCGTGCCTTAGCTGTCACTCAGAACCTACTCATTTGGCAGGGAGCTTGTATTATCAGTGGCCAGTGAATGTGTCATATCTATAGATTATTTTCCTGTAGCTTATGCTGGACAATATTATTGAACAGATATCCAGATATAACATATGCCAAGGAGGATGTCTAAACTGACAAAGGGCCAACAGAGTCCACCCTTTCAACAAGTTCTCGACAAACAGTGAAATCCAAAGATCAGACATTGAACTTTTTGAGATAAAAGCTACTAAGGACGCTATTATTGGAGATCACCTCATTGAGAAAAGTGCTATAAAAATAACTGGCTGGTTTAAGTGCCTGACAAACAACTTGCAATGACGGGCTTGAGTTTCCACATCCTCCCAACGGCCAAAGCCTCTTTCACGGTCTGCCCTTCTTCAGTAAGAAGAAGGGGCGGCTGGAACCCAGACAGGTGAGGAGGAAGGTAGATCCCAGGACGGAGGTCTTACCCTCACTCTTCTTCTCCTCCTTCTTTATGCGCTTCAGCCGTCTCAGCATCCCTCTCAGGTCTGTGATGCCGTAGGTGAACGCAATCCTTTCATATTCCTGGGGTGGGGAGGACTTCAGGAGCTCCCACACATCCACATCGGGGATGGTCTCCTCCGGCTTGTGCTCTCTGGGTAGAGGGAGGAAGACCGCAGTGAAGACCCAGACCTCTGCCGCTGCCTCCTAGGAACATCCTAGGAAACCACTGTCAAAGTAGGAGGCAGGAGGAAGGGAATTGTTCTTGTCCTCTGCTATTATTAAGATGGCTCCTTAACGTACAGCCTGCGCCCTCTGCAGATTGGTATTTCACAGGAATTCGAAATTGGTGAGTAGTAACTAATTCAGCAGGGGATCTCTACCTGCCATCTATTCAAATTCAGGTCACTGGTTTCAAAAACCACGGCTGGGTCGCTTGTTCCACTCTCCCGCAACCCTTTGTGTAAAGAAGTGCCTCCTGTTTCTCGATTTTACATGCACTTCCAAAAGACCCACAATGTTGAAATTCACTCCCCGCCACAAAAAAAAAACCCAAAACATCAGGCACAAAACTCTCCCATTTTTTTGTGATTAAATGATTGAAGGTAGAGTTTATTATTAATAAGTCATGCCAACAAGGATGTCTAAACTGAGAGAGGAACAACAGAATCCATAACATCAAGCTTTCAAGAGGTGCTTCCCAGTCTTTGTCACATCCAGGGATGGGCTAGTCCACATTTACCTACATTATATATACAGTAACTCTAATAACATCATAAGTAACTCTGGTCAGCTGGTGAAGAAAGGGGAGATGTGGCCGGGGTTTAATATCATGAAAATATTGCACTTGTGAAGTGTGGCTGTTGGGGGAATTTGGGTAGACAGGCAGGGGAGGAGGGTGGAAAGACCTAAAGTTAATTTAGAAAAAGTAATTATTATATCAGGGGTACTATGGGTATTATGCAGAAAAATGTGTTAGTAGAGGTTGAAAAGGATATGGAGTAAACAGGAGGGGAAAGGTTTGGAGCTGTATTCTTAGAGATACTGTAAGTAGTTAGCTGTATCCTCCTAAACTCTTTTTCTAACGGTTCACCTTAGTTCACTACAGTATTCTTGGATATTCAGTATTCATGGAAAAATGCCCATCCCTTTTGATTAATTTGATCTTATATACATGTTTTATGTATATAAGAAAGAATGTTAAGACTGTACATGTCCAAAAGGCATCATCTGCCTTTCTGTTGGAGACTCAGGTAGCAAATATATTTAGTAAGGGGTTAGTTAGCAGGCTTGTCTTTACTGAACATGGGTTGGTTATTCAGCAAATATGAACAACATTCATACAATCAGCTCTTTCACAGACATTTTCCAATGTCTGAATGTTTGCAGTCAAACAGATGAAACTTTGATTACTTTATTTTTTTATTTCAGGCAATAATGTGTATTAACTGCTGTTTTTCAGAAGTTTTAATATTAAGAATGTATGTAAATATTTATAGAGCTAAAATATATAATAACAAAGTAGAGGTAACACTATTTACAGCATCATTTATATATGGTTTATTAATGTGATTGGGTGATAATGTTATTTGCAATACCTACAGTAAGTATTACCAAATTCAGTACCACCACTGTGTAATACGGAACAATCTCTGGATGCAATAGAATAAGCATAAACTTTACCAATGTATTGAGAAAGTAGAGCATAGAATTATTATTTTCAATATTAATAAAGCATTTATAAATGACACCTTTAAATGAAGTGTTACCAAGCTACAGTAGCTGAACACTCTTGCTTAAACCTACAGCTACGTAACATGCTTGTAAGACTACAGAATTACTTACCAAAAGTAAGTTCTAATCTTTTAAATAACTTATGCTTTTTACTAACCTGTTCATTCTGAATGCATAGGAAAGAAGAAGAGACAAGCCCAAATAAATGTATATTTTTTCAATAATTAATATAATGATTGAAAATGTTTCCGATATTTTTATATGCAACATTAAACTGACTGTTACAATTTATAGTAATAAAAATAGATCAGAAGATTTGATTATGAGAGGATTTGAAATAAAGAACAACCATGGGTGCAAACAGTAGGTCTTGTATATAAAGCTTTCATTTTGTATACAGCATGCGAAAAACACTATGCAGTATATTTTATGTATTGCAGCTCAGTGACTGAGAAATTCGTAGGTAAAAGATCCGAGAATATTTATTATTTTTTCGTGACTTAACAAACTGTGTTTGTGCAACTCCTGTATAAGAACATGAAATTTAAAAACATGTATTTAAATTATCATTCAGCTCTCCACTTAAAACTTTCTACTATGGAGTATTATAAATGCAGTACTTATAAATGCAGCATTTAACACATATCTCAAGTGGCATTGTATAATATCTATAATCTATAGATACATCTTATTTATATACTGTTTGGAATACTGGATTAATTGCAACTGTTCAGATTGCATAATCAATAACAGTGTAATATAGAATTTACTATCAATATACAGTAGATTTAATATAAAGGTAAATAAATATATTCAGTTGTGGTGAACACTAGATAACAAAAGAGGAAAAGCAATAACCTGGAAAATCTTACTTTCTGGTAAAGGCTTTCAGTGTTCAACAATCTTTATCAAAAAGGGGCTCTAATCCACATTGAGGTCATTACTGTTTCTCACCTATGCTTAAGGAGACCACTAAAGTCAAGCTCTCCTGCATCTTCTTGGCCTTCGGTGCTGTTGTTAATGAGAAAGATGAAATTCATTTTAGTAAAAAGAAAAAGTGGTAGGCATTGCAGAATGAGACAATGGAATAAAGCAGTGCACAAGTGTCTCACATGGCACAATCTATACATTAGGTTTCCTAACACATAATCGGGCCTTACACAAGAAAAGTCTGTGCATTTCCTGGTCTGGTTTTGAACACACCTATTTGTGCAAGGCGGATTAAGGATTAAGATGTGCATTGCTCTGACATTATCTGACATACATACAGAAACTGCTTTGTTGGAGATTTCACACTTTTCTCTTGTAGCTTCAAACTCAATATTGTGAGATGGTGTCATTTCTTATTCTACATCATTGAAATAGCTGGCAGTAACACAGAGCTGTTTAGAATCAACAGTCAAATTCCAGGGGTTTGCTGCTATATTTGCAGAACAAAACTCCTGCTTTTGTGGATTGTTTCAGTCCTTAAAGTATGAATGAGCAAGAATAAAAGGTTTTGTTTTATTTCTTTCTGTACGGTTCTTCTGGAGCTGATGGCATCTTCTATAAGGCATTGTTTTTCTTTTCTGAATCAGTTGTTTCCTGCAGGGGCACACAGACTCCACTAATGCATCCTTGCTTACAAGCAATTAAACTGATATTCATATACATCTATAAGATACATTTCATTACACCAGGAGACAGTTCAAGTGTAATTTCACAAATGGAAGTTCAGACATTGGACAGTGAGATGTTCTGAAACAAGACATTCTAAACTCTGCTGCCCAGTGAAGCTGTTGAATGATACTGTAAATTAAAAGCTGGGCTTGCAGACGTACTGTAGGCGAGTGTGTGTCTGAGGTCATACTGCTCATCATGTTTCCTGGAAATCTGTGCAATAAATAATTTATTGAATTCCAGTGATGAGGGCACTTAAAAATCAGAATTCCTGGAGGAATCAGAATTTTGAGGAATGTTTAACAGCTAAAGTCACAGTCCAGAGGAGAAAATTCAGCCCATGTCACCTGAGTGGGAGCAAGAACACAGTATAATTTAGGGTGATGAATTGGAGACCCGTTTATACAGCAGGGAATGAACTGGAGCAATCTGAGTAATGTGCTCAAGGGTTCGACAGCATTGCTATATGACCAAGAAAAAGGTTTATTCCCTGCTGAAAAGAGAAGAAAGAAAACACAACGTTTGGACCGTGGAGCCTTCTTCAGGTGTGAGGTCACACCTGAACGGACCACACACAGAACGGAGGAGGGCAGTGTCTCTCACACTAGTGCACACAGCAAGAAGAGCAGGTTGTTATTCAAAAACCTGCCAAAGAATGGACAAGTACAACAAATGCACTGTCCGCAAGGAACATGTCAGAACATCTTAAAAGAACGTTTTAATAACACAGGCAGACAATGCTTCATTAAAAGACCACACAAAGAGAAAGGGACTGATTCACACACATGAAGGAAGCTGTGTGATGGTAAAATAACTACAATAATGTTATGTGAGACAGTCAGGCAAGACAGAGAGAGAGAGAGAGAGAGAGATCTTTCCCAGCCAGCTCTCTCAGGACAATGACTGAGAAAGCATTGAGGTGCACAAGGGTTTTAGCTGGTGCAGTGGTCGCCTACACAGAAATAATCACTTGGCTTGTGTCGGTTCCCGGAACAAAGGTTGGAGACAGCCCTTGCATCCAAGTATACATGTCTGTGAGAAGAAATCAAAGCACCCACAGAACATCCACACAAGCATGAAAGGAACTTTCAGAATGCTCCCCAAACAGAGTCAATGCTGGACCCCGAGATCTAGGCAGCACCAATGATACTCAGGATACTGGCATGGGTTCAGTAATCTCAGTGGTTTTCAGAATCATTTCAGAGGAGTCAAAGGTTTTGTCTAGATTTCTAGCCGCAGCCTGACCATGGGGGAGTTCGGCGAAGGGGGTGTCAGCCACAGGTGTTCATGGATAGGGATGACCATGTCCACCACATGCTAAAAGGAGATCTCAACATATTCAAGTAATTAAAACTGGATAGACACATCTGAAACATGGCCAGCATTCTCATGGCTTCCGAAGAACTTCCATTTCATTTCGATTTGAAAATAACTTGGAAAGATCATCTTTTTTATTTTATTAACCCCCAGGTTAATTGTTGGCTTTGGTGAAGGGTGAGGGAGCTTTTGTGTTTTGCTCTGAAATGTGTCCCATCAGAGCCTCCTGCTTCTGACTCGCACTGTGAGGTGAGGTGAGGTGGCACTGACTGGAGGACTGGCACAGCTCAGTGAGAACAGAGAACTCAGGTCAGCCAAATCAAGGTGTTACAAGCTGAGGACAGCCTTGATGACTCAAGTCCAACTGCAGGGAAAGGTTTACCAGTTCTTTGGGAATCTCTGTCATACTCAACAAGAGACATATCCCAGTAGCCAACCAGCAGTGCCTAGTCTGGAGGGCTAAGCCAGTGCTCTAAATAAATGCTTTACTAAATGAGCCATATAGTACATCTTACAGCATACTTACAAAGCATTACAAAGTAAACATCATCATGTAACCAAAGTTCATCTCATTACCTTCTCTTGAAGGCTGATCGGATATCGATATTTTGAGTAACTAGTTCCGGGACCTCTGAAAAATATCATTGCAGTTAGACTCATTCATTGTTTCGTTAAAAAATACTAATTTTAGAACTCAAATAGTAAGAAATTCAAAGGCAACAAAAATGAGTACCTACCTATAACCTCCAAATCAAAGGACCAGCTGTCAAATTTATCTTTGTATGTGACTTCACATCTGTAATTCCCGGCATAGTTTTCCTTGGCTTTGATGATGTGCATCTCAAATGTGTGGATCTAGGAATTTAAAAAAAAAAACATGTTGAGAGAGCCTGGCATTATGATTTAACCTCTGATGATGAGGGGAAAATTTCTATCCTATGTGATAAAAAACTTAATTTGTGTCCTGTTTTTTTAACTAGCTGCTATACTTTCAAAATGCACACCAGCGCACCAATTAATTAATTGATTTCTCAAGGTCATGATTGATTGGCGAATGCTTCCGGTATTCTGCAGACCACCTGAAACAAACGCCAAAGCTCATAGACAATATGCAACACAGAGGGAGGATTACCTTTGTAAAACGGTCAAAAGTTTCTTTCAGCTGTAAGTGTTTCCCAGTTTTGCTGCCCAGGTCCATCCATTTCCCTTTAAACCATTTGATCGTAGGCTTCCTGAGCAAGTCTTTTGCTTCCACTTTAGCCACGAACGTGATATCTCCACCTTGCAAATAAATACCAAGGAAATAGCAGCCATTATTAAGAGTCGATGGTTGCGTGTGTATTAGCGGTGTGAATATTAGCGGTAGTTTATATATTTTTAATCATTTGTTTGAAATGCAAATGAGGTTTTTTATATACTGTTTATTTTCAATGTATTTTTTTTAAACAGATCAATACAGACAATGCTGCAGGTAGCAAAAAATACTATCAGGATCAGCGTTTAGCTTCAACCAAAATGGGTATCGTGCCAGTTCGATTTCAACGCAAAATTGTGTTTCAGTTGTGTACAAAGGAACTCAACCATCGAGTGAAAATTGCAGGAGAAAGCTAAACGTCTGGGACGTTTTGCCCAACAACACCCACCCCCATCCACCCAGACATTATCACTGCATGTCACTGACTGGGCTTACAACTTGGAACTTCTGGAGAGTCTCAGTCCAGCAGGACGTTTCATTCTCTCCTTAAACTGTCGCTTTTAAGAGGCTTGGAAGGGTTGATGAATTTACAAGGTGGTGGTGAACGGTGACCTACAGTATGAGTCCCGAAGGGTATCCCCCCCACCCCTCCCTGGCTGTCCGATGTCTTCCCCAGGAGCAGAGCAGGAGCGTACCCACGGTGACTGAGCCGCTCTGGGGCTTCTCTATCAGCAGGGAGGACTTCTGCGTGTTCTCGTGCTTGTCCAGGTCCTCGGGGGGCTGGCCCTCCCCAAGGGACCACACTGCTCGGCAGCAGGGGAAAAACAGAGTGCCGTGAACAGACTCAGACTCAGGCTCAGGCTCAGGCTCAG